ATGCGCACGTTGAAAGAAATGTTAATAAAGTAAACAAATATAAGCTTTTTTTGGTAATTTTGATACCCTTTAGTTTTAATTGCTCTTTATTTCATAAATTACGGTTTCATATTTTTAATTTTATAATATTATTATTTAATAATATTATAAAATTAAAATAATATAATTATAATATTTTAATTTATAATTTTATAATAAAAATACGGTTTCATATTTTTAATTTTATAATTTCTGCATGCCATCTTACCAGATTTAAACTGATGATCTATAATCCGGAAAAACTGATAATCCGGAATCGCCGAAGTCCCGACGAGTCCGGATTCAATACTTTTGACTGTATTTTATTTTAACGGATAATGAGTATAACTTCAAGCTCAAACGTATTCAGGAGTGACAGAAAATGCAATTTTGATTTCTAACCTGCAAATACTGTAAAGAGTATGTGGTAGTTTCAGGTAAAAAGTTTTTAATTTGTATTTTAATTATTCATGGTAAATAAACAAGTTCTAAATAGCATATACATTATTTTATGCAAAATAAATGCATAAATTAAAGAAAATAAACAATTAGAGTCAAAATTCATAATTTTCCCCTTGCTGCTGTGTAAACCTTTTGTTTAACTGAGATAATTATACTTTATTACTGAATTTTTTTGTAAAGCAGTTTATTAATTTTAAAATTTGTTAATTCAATATTTTTAATTAATAATAAATCTAATAAAAAAGAATATGTAATAAATATAACAATAAAAACATTTATTTTCTTCTGATTGTAACTAAATAAATAATAATAATTTAAAAAAAGTTTTTTTGTTTTTCTAAACATCTTAATTTTCAAATGTCCCATTCAGCAATTTTGAAAAGATGGCAACACTGCCTTATGTCCAGAATAGAATCTTGGGGGACTTTTGCTTTAATAATTTTCCTGTTTGATAATGCATCGCCAATTTTAACTTCATACATTCCTCTTTTCATGTTAAAAAAAATCATCAGTCTGATCATCTGAGCAGAATGAAATATTTTTAACAGTCTTTGCTGGAACCTTGTGCCATACATTAGACTAGGGGTTCCCAACCCTATACCCACATGCACTATATGGTGCCTGTCGATCGTTTAACATGTGCCCACCGCTGTGTGATCACAATAAAAATGTTTTAGTTTTCAAAAAAATTCTAGTTTTCTCATTTTTAATGAAATAGAAATTGAATCCAACACAGATACCAGAACAAAGCAAAATACGACCGATCTCTCTCTCTCTTTTATGTGTATACATTATTAACTCCATTCAACTGTAAATTCACCTTGAAAAAAGTAAATGGTGCCTGTCGTCCAACAGATATTCTAGAATGTGCTCTTAGGGACAAAAAGTTTGGGAATCCCTGTGTTAGACATTGTTTTCTCAGCTAGTGAAAACAAGTATCAGTGCATTCAGAATTTGATGGGTCATACTGTGACCTTTTTGGAATCCAAGTTGTGAGTCGCTCAGAAGGCTTTAGTTTTCTAAGTCCTTATGTATTCTTGTTAAGATTACTCTTTCAAGAAGTTCGCCAGGTTGACTGAACTGTAACGTAAGATACTTTTAGACTTTTAGATACTCTTTTTTTTTTTTTTTTTTTTTTTTTTTGGTAGAATGGACATTGTAATGGTAGAATGTTTCCATTGTTGAGGAAAGTCAGCAGTAAGCATGTGTTGAAAAATACTGCATTAATTGCATGATGCTTTTAAGTGTTATATTTTTATCCCTTTATTTAGAATGAGTTTTATATTTTTATCCCTTTATTTAGAATAAGGTGGTATGCTTTAGCATTTTTTATGTCAAGGGCAAAATGTCATTAAGTCATGTTTATCTCCCCTTCTCCCACTCCGGTTAAAAGTAATAGGTAGGACACACAAAATTAAAAAATATATATATAAAACTTTATAACTCAAATAAAATTGGCAAATTCTATTTCTATTAAAAAAAAAATTCACAAACAATAAAATTTTAACAAACTTTATTAATAAAGAAATTAATACTAAACCAATGTTAACATTTATACATCAAATAAAGTTTATACATATATATTGTACATAATAAATAAGTATTTTAAGAGAAACAGATTAAAGATTACTGTTCGCATGTTGGAAAAATTTGCTAGAAAACAGAGGTGAAAAGATTTATAACAAATTTTCACAAGCAATAAATCTAGATTATAGAAATGTTTAAAATATAACAGTTGATAAGCATACTCTGAAGATAAATATTTCTTATGTACAATAAAGGTGTATAATAATAGAGCATAAATATTTTGCATTTAAAATATGTATGAGAGAATAAAAAAATTATTCTCTCATTGATAGAAATATGCTTTGGCTGGGCATAGGTTCAGACAATTGTTCAAAGGAAACTTTCATTCAAATGACTTAAATTTCAAAATATTAACTCTTTTCATTAATAATTTAAAATGGAAATTTATCTAGAATATATGTTACCGGCAATGTAGGAAAGCTTGTAGGATACTTAGGCATTTTATACAAAATGGCTGGCAATGAAATGATTAACATTTTGTACATTTCCTAGGCATTCTATAGAATGACCAAACTGGAAAAGTATGAAATACATCTTCGATTTGCTTAAAAATAGTTTGTTCTTAACTTCCCCGGTTAAAAGCAGTTTGTTCTCAACCGAGACTGCTTACCAGAAGTTAATAAATGATATAAAAAAGCCAAAATTACTATTAAGAAGGAAGCCCGGGACTGCTGGTTGCTAAATCACTATGATGTGATGTTTGTGGAAAACAAAAGTAAACTTATTTATCCTGTTAAAGAAGGCAACAGCATTTTTGAGGAATGCACATCTTTTTTAAGTAACATCCATATCATGACCTATTTTCACACTTTTTCTGTATAGCATTTAACATTCTATGGAATGCTCAGGTGTTATATATAATGCCAAGGTATTATTTGCAATGCATAGGGAAAGTATATAATAATTCTCATATTTCGTATTTTGCGTAAAAATACCAAGAATTCTATAAAATGACTAGGTATTCTATAGAATGCCAGCACTTCATACACTGTTAGTAACATATATAATAATACACTGTTTTTTTAATCAAGTTACCTGAAAATATTTTTATAAATTCAAGATAAAAATATATTTACAGTACATTATTCATAGCTACCAACTCTCCTGGTTTTTAATTTTTATCCTTTACTAAGGAAAATTTTATGCAGTAATAAATAAAATTTATTCAATGAATAAAATTTAAATTAGGCAAACTCCTTTCTCCTACCTGTAATAATTTTTTTATTACATTTTATTCCATCTTAATTGTATTTTTTATTATATTTTATTGATCTTACTGTCTTAATATACTGTAAACATTTGTAGACTTTTATATGAACATTCAAGAAATGTTTAATCAGTTAATATTTGTATTTAATTTTGTTTATGTCAGTGTATGGTACATTACTAAATTTATCTGCGCAAATGCTGTGTATATTAATTATTGATTTTATTTTCATCGTATTTAAAAGTACTTGGATAAATAAAAACATTCCTTCACTACTCAGGATTTCCTCGGTATGAAATTTAGAATATCTAATTAATGCTAATATATTTTATATCAAAATTGAATTACAATTAGTTCAGTAACTTGAACCATTCATTATAAAGTGGATTAAAGTCAGTGTGGAGTTCCTTTGAACTGGTGTCACTGCACAGCGTGAAAACCTCCAAGTTTTAAAGATTTTGAAGTTGGCAGCTATGATAATTTCTTATATATATACATATAATTTTGTAATAATATATATTTTTAAAAAAAGTTCATCAGAGAAAAATTTTGAAACTTTCCTTTGATTTCAATGTTTAATAATCCTTTAAGCTATAGAAATAATTTTACTGAAATGCAATAACTTATGTTTTAAAACTACAGCAACACATTTAGATTCTTAAAACAACCAAACCATACATTCTTACAGATGCTGTTATAATAAAGGCAGTTAAGTTTATGCATTATACTTATATTCAAATTAAGTATGTAAAGCAAAAAACATTTATTTGTACAAAATAAAACACATTGCTCTCTGCTTGAGCAATTTAACATCGATCTACTTTCAAAAGTGACTTTTCTTATAAAATTTAAAGTTTAAAATATACAGAATGGTTTAAATTTGACCATTTATATAAAAAAAGTATTAAAATGTTTTCTTTTAATTAAATAATTTTCCTAGTAATTTATTTTAATAATGATTTGATATGTCACTTAAAATTTTTTTAAACTACGGTAACTATGAAATTTTCATTGCTTTTAAATGTTATTACAAATTACATGGTAATAATCAACATACAACTATATAACTATTCTGAAAAATTTTATGCATAGTTTTTAAGCATAGAATATTTAGCTAAGGAAAAGCCAGTTGGATAGCAGTAAGGAACAACATATTATAATGATAAGAGAAGAATGAAAATTTAAAAGTTAAATTTATAACAGTTATAATAATTCTTTACATAAAAGCAATACAGCAGTGATTCTCAAACTGTGATAAAACTGTGATTCTTAAACTGAGTTAAATAACTAATTTTCAAGGGACATGCAAGCTGTTTGCAAGGGAAGGCTTAAAATAACCCACAAATTTACGAATACGCAAATATATATAGTTTTCCCTCATATAGCCAAGTGCTGTAATTGTAAGCATTTTAGCTTCTTAAAATATTTTATTCTTGTCCTTTAAAATTAGCCTTACACTGAAAGTATGTGTGTTGGTGTTATAACAGAAAACTTTATTGCTAAACTGCAGTCACCTTTTATTTTTTACATCATAAAAAGAATGAATTGCCAAACTTACAAATGCCTAAATTCAGAAGACAAAATATCCACACAATTGACCTACTTTAACATCATTAAAATATTGTTTCTTCTTTTATCATAAGTTACTATTCTCTTAAAAATTTCTTAAAAACTTTTTCTTACTGCTGGCATTTGCTGTTTTCTGAACTGTCTTGTTTATTGAACCTTTTTTTTTTTATTTTTATTTTTTTATTATTATTTGCATATTATTTACGGAATGTTGTATTCCCTCCAGTGGCCACTAAGTGGTGTGATGAAGACCATGGAACTCATATATTTTAATTTTTCCTCATTTTACCTTATTTTGACTATTGTTCAAAAATCAACAGTGGAAAATTATGCTAATAATTTAATTTTCAAAGGATTCGGTAGTAGTAGGTAGGTCGGTAAAGTAGTCAGGTATAAACTGCAGCTAAGTATCATAATATTATTTCTTTAAAAGAGACCTGGCTCAATAAAAATACATAGTAATACCAATATTTAACGAGATATCGTCATTTCTACTTCCTGTAATTTAAATTTGGCCCAGTCTTATTTCTATTCCTGATCATCCATAAATAATTAGAGGAGATGAATGTGCAATTGATGTGGCAAAATCATAGACCAAATGTCAGTTTGTGTTTGCTTCACTGTGATGAATTGTGGCATAAAATTCTACATTTAGAAGGGAAAGGTTGTGTATGAACTTCATAGATAATTTACGAGAGTTTGTCTCTAGTAAGACAAAAAAAAATCACTACATCCATGAATCCATTTTGAAATTTAGGGGCAAGGAATATGCATGAGGGAAAAATGTACATGAAGAAATACATTAATTCAAAAATCAGTTTAAGAACAGAAAGTAAGACCCTTATTTCATAAGCTTTAACACTGGAGCTAAGAATGAAAATTTTGACTTAAATTTTTTTTGTTTTTTTTTCTTCATGTCTGAACAAACTTGTAGAAAATGCCTGAAACTTTTGAATAAATTCTCTCAGGCAAAATTAGTAACAAAAAATGTGTTGGCAGGAGAAAGTAGGATTTTTCAAAATAATTTGTTGCAGTTTAGGTTAAAATAACATGCCGAACAACGATTAAATTAAAAGTCAAACAACAAAAATTTCACTGATTTGTTTGACTTCAAATTAATTTGTTGCATTTAAAATTAATTGAAATAATAAGAAAAATTTTTGAAAACTTATTATTTTGATAAATTTTATTAAGGGGTATATATCTTAATGAGTTTAAGAACCACTGCCATAATGCAAAATAATGAAAAAAATTACAAAAGATGATTAAATTAACCATAGCAGCATTTTAACGGAAACGAAGCAAAATTTTCCCAATTTTTTTCAAAATTTTTATATTCAAACTATATAAAAAGCATAAATTAAGTAGCTTTATTTGCAGATGCAAAATTAAGGAGAAAAAGTTAATTTAAATAGTTGTAATTAAGTTCTTTAATGAAAATTTGAAAATTAATTTCACCTAAATTTGTACTGGAAGCATATAATTTCTTTGAGTTAAAATAAAAGTTCTAAGAAATGAAAGATAACAAAGGCAAAATATGTAATAAAAGTTGTTAAATAAAAAGCTAAAAAATAAATACAACAACACTTAATGAAGTAAAAGTTAATACTTTATCACACTTAAATGGTTAAACACTAAACGAATCAACATTTATAAAGTTGATAAACACATAATATTGCATTCAAGTATTTATGTTTTATATAATGCATAGGAGTTATCATAAGGCTTTAATTCTTTACAAAATTTAAATTAAAAAAAAACATTAAAACCAAATTAGATTTCAAGAAACAGATAAAATGTGTTATCCTAAAAATACATTTCATGCAAAATGAAACAAGTGATGCATGTGTATTCATCTGCTTAACTATAATAAATAAAAATTATAAAATCAAGACTTGAAAACATTTTCAAGGTTGTATAAATATTTTGAAAAGTATTTAGAGCACATATTTAATTATTTACATTTGGAAGATTAGTATATCTTTTTAACACATCAAAATGTAAAGTAAATTTTCTCACTATTATCCTTTAACTATAACTCTTAATTCTGATGATTTCTTTTACTGAGTACAATTAAAGTAAATAACAGGATACAGATTTATCACAAAACACATCTCAGTTCATTTCTGAAATTTTATGTGACAACTCCATTAGGGGGGGGGAAACTTTTAACCTAAGGAGAAATCTACATTCACCTTTATCATTAAAACAAAATTAAAAAAATAAGTATATAGAAATCCATAAAACAATGAAATAAAGTGTTGAGGACAATTAATTCTTAAAAGTAGTAAAATTTTACCAAAAAAGTTGGTAGCAATTTTTATAAGTAAAACTAAAAAAAAAAACTTTATTTTTTTCTTGATTTATAAAAGCTCCTGGGATCAGAGCATACAATTTCTGGTATATTGTATACTAAATAAAATTTATTTCTAACACCAAAGTGTATCACACCAAAACTAAAAATAAATCATGGCTAGATAAGCCATATAGCAAATCCACTTTCTGAAAATATTTCATAATTTAACAACGGCACAGTTTACAGAAAAGTGATAAATGCTCTTGACCAGTTTTGAATTAAAGTCTCTGCATAATCACTCAGTTATATGGATAATGCACACACTCAGTACTTCAACAACTGCAGAGACAGTTAAGGCCATATTAAAGCCCTCTGTTTGTTTGTCCATACTTATTTTCTCTGGAACTGACCAAAGTATTGTCAAGAAAGCACCATGGTAATTTTTTTTTCTTAAACCAATTAAACTTCACCTTGCTAGATGCCACAACAGACCAAGGAAAAATAACACAGCTGAGCTGCTTGAACTGAGGCACATACTACCACAAGGCAGTTCATCATAGTGGTACTTCTTGTCTGCTGAAGCATAGTAAAATTTGACTGAGTCTGGTTGGCAATTAATATCATTTTCCTAAAATGATGAGAAAAAAATGATAAGTTAGAACACAAAATTAAGTGAGGTAATATTTACAGCATACATAATTGATAAGTGGCTGTCTTTAGACTTTCAAGTTCCTAATAGGGCACGGGCTTTTCATAATTTACTTGTACGATTTGATCTCTGGGTTAGTGGCAAAGTAATATCATTAATACATTGAGCATACAGAAAAACCACATTCAGCAGAGTTTACTTTCTGAGGAAAAAATGTGTTAGGTTTAATTAAAAGGGAAAAACATAAATTAAATATTAATTGAAAAATAATTTTTTTTTAAACTAGTGAGATTTTTGTTTGGGACAATAAATGATGCTGCAATTCTTTAAAAGTTTTGTAGTAATGGACACACAGTTTCTTAATGCTTGTCATAAAATGTCTTCTTTCTTTATTTCATTCAATCTCCATTGCACAATCAAGCAGTTCATGAACCTTTTTTAACAGTTTGTTTTGCTTTCACTGTTAGCTGGTGTGATATGGTCATCTGATTCTTTTGTCATCATTTCTTGATTAATTCTTTGACTTCTCCTTTTTTCATACCTGAAACTCATTCGCTGCTAATTTCTTTTGCAATTTGTATGATTTTTTTGGGCTTTATTTTCAATTAATGGAAATTTTTTAAGATTGTTTAAAGTTCTCATGTTGATTTCTAACTAGAACAGATGCCACCAGCCACAATGCATTTACATACGTAGGTGAAGCAGTATTGATCAGAATGCACATACTTGATTCTGATGGAAATGTGTTCATATTTCCATCAGAACATTATCAGCGATAGGTTCATTGTCATCCCAAATACTGGCTAGTCCTACTCTCGTAATAGAAGTGGAGGTATGTATTTTAAGTATTAAAGTATTTTTCTTCTGTATTAATACTGTATGTTGTGAAAAAATGTTTTGTCCTGGTGTGTATTGCTTGCTAAAACTGTATTTCACTTTGTATAATGTGCTGTATCCCATTTCTTTGCTGTACCAATGTATTTAAATGTTATTACATATACTGTATTGTACAGTGGTGGCCAAAATTGTGGCCACTTTTGGAAATGTTTATGTTTTTGAACTTTGTATGCTTATAGAAAACGTATGTTTCACAAAATGCAAACTTGTACATATTATTTTAAAGAGAATTTATTACTGAATTCAATACAAAACACAAAATTCAATTATTTGCAAGTTAAACGATAATAGTTATCAATATACATTAGATAGTGATGATTGCAGTGAGTTATCAGTACTTAGTAGGGTACCCTTTATTTTTTATTACAGCTTCACATCGACGTTTCATTGAGCTGACAAGAGTTTTAAGCTCTTCTTTCGTTATTACATGATGCCAGGAAACAATTATAGCCTCAATTAGTTCCCTTTTATTTGATGGGCGCCTTCATTCGGACAAGAGTTTTCAAACGGTGCCACAAATTTTTGATAGGATTGAAGTCAGGACTGTTTCCTGGAAATGACAACAATTTAATGCTCTTTGTACGAAACCACTCTTTCGATATTTTGGCCATGTGGCAAGGAGCAGAATCCTGCTGAAAAATAAACGGAGCATTGTTGGGAAAGAGATCTCTGATGGAAGGTAGAAGTTTTGGTTCTAGAATAGTGTCAATGTATTTTCTGGCATTCAGTGTCCCATCGATGACATGAAGGCGACCAATACCATCTGCTGACATGCATGACCAAATCATAACACTAACTGGGTTCTTCACAGTTGCTTGAATGCAGTCAGGATGTAGCTCTTCTCCTATGCTACATTTACATATTTTCGCCCATCACTACCAAATAACGATATCTTAGTTTCATCACTCCACATAACTTGTGACCACTGATCATCTGTCCAATTATTGTGTTCCTTTGCCCAATTGTGTTCCTTTGCCCACTGTAGTCTTTTTTCGTTGCTGAAAATTAAGATAAGGCTTTTTTCGTGGAATTCTACCTCTCAGTCCAACATCTGTTAATCTTCTCCGGATTGTTCTTGAACTGACAGAAACACCAGCATCATTCAGATCACTTCTGATGGCCGCTGATGACATTTTTCTATCTTGGAGACATAGTCTTTTTATTCTTCTGTCATCAGTAGATGTGGTGGACCTTTTTCGGCCTTTTCCTGCTTTGTTTTTTATTGAATTTGTCTCCTGATATCGTAAACAAAACTTTCGGACTCCAGATGTAGTCACTGAACCACCCACATGTCTTGCAATTTCAGCATAGGAAAGACCACTTTCTCGTAACACAATAATATTACATCTCTTTCTAGGTGTCCAATCTACTCTTTTATTTGATGTCATTGCTTCTTGACTAAATATTAAAAATTTTTACAAAAATTCCTACTTGTAATTGCAGTGTATAAGAAACAGGTCCTCCTCCTACAGAACAAATGGTTAAATAAAAATAATGAATTGTTTCAAGTGTAAACATGATGTCAGCTTCTACTGGCAGTTACTAACATTTGATTGGTTCTCAGAACAAGAACAGTGATTGGCCGGGAAAGCTAGACATTACAAACTACTTCATAACTGTGTTTTTTATTTATATTAAAGTATAACTTTTTTGTATTGCAAATAATTGAATTTTGTGTTTTGTATTGAATTCAGTAATAAATTCTCTTTAAAATGATATATACAAGTTTGCATTTTGCGAAACATAACATTTTCTATAAGCATACAAAGTTCAAAAACATAAAAATTTCCAAAAGTGTCCACAATTTTGGCCACCACTGTATATATAGCATATCTTAATTTGGTTCTAGTGGTCGAAAGGATGCTCCTTTGGATTGGCGCCAAACATCAGTCCTGTTTCCTTAATGTTATGTTGGAGATGTTATTTTTTTTATTATGTGACTAATGCATTTCCTAAGTTTAATATAATTGGATCTTCTTAGCTTAGTGATTGAGGCCTGAACATGATTGTATATGACACATAGTACATGTATCGTATTTTGAGCCTATTTTGAATTTTAACTGCCGTTAACTGACTGCCGATTTTGTTAGCTGGCTGTGGCTTGTTCTAACTGATTGTTGTTCCGTCACTTCCGCAAAAGTACGTCTGGTAAAATAAATACTCTTTTTTTTTTTTTTTTTTAAATTTTTAATTTAATTTTTTTATTTATTTATTATTTATTTATTTATTTATAATTTAAGGAAAAAGGATAAGAAAGGTATTATTGATTGGTGTATGAATGAAGGTTCAATTAGTTCTCAGTATAAATATCCAGTGTGTATGAAAAGTGTATGCATCCGGTCAAGCATCAGAATCAACTGAATGGCTGTGAGAAAGGTGCTTGTGCTCATCGTTATAAGAGAGTGCACATGGTTTAAAGAAAGAAATATGAGCGTAACTGATATTTTAATTTTTTCTTATTTGTGGGTGTATAAAGCTGGAACAAATCTGCTTATGGATGAGGTGAACGTCTGTTAATAAAATTATGATTGAACGGAAGAATTTTTGTAGAGAAGTGATTTTGTATTTGATATGCAGTGGAGTAGCAAGCATAACTGGCACCCGGGACAAAATAACTTTTTGGCGGTGAAATAACCCCCCCCTTAAAAAAAAAAAAACACAATGATACGATGAAAATCTTGTTTTGAGACCATTTGGTGCCCCTCTGTGAGCGGCGCCCCGGCCATCATATGCCTTCTTGCCCCCCTCGCTATGTCACTGTTGATGAAAAAAAATATAATGATTGGTCATCTTGGTATGGTTGTAGTGATTGATGCTGTAGTGTATGTTTGGTAAAAGTATAATAGGAGTAGAAGGGTAAATGAAACTGGATTTTTGGTGGTGTTGAAAGAAGTAATGGATGGTGCTTCTTTTTTAGGTTGTGGAAAATCGCATGAAAAAGACTTTGTTGAATGTGATTTCTTACAAAATCCTGCCTGAAACCACAATTATCTGTGCTTGTTAGAAAGCCTACAGTTACCTCGGTAATCAAGGTTTCGTTTCCTGACTTATAAAGATTCCAAAAATGGAGCCCAATTTGCAGAGTTCACAGTGTCATCAATACGATGATCAGGAGGAGGATGCATTCCAAAGCTACAATAAAGAATTGTATTTGCCACAGTCATCTGACCTGATGATGAGATTTAGTAAAGAACATAAGAGGTAGGTACTTTTGTTGCTTTTGTAATAATATTTTTGGCGATAGGCATCTTAGAAATATTGCTTCTTGGAGCCATTCTTGGCATAAAAAAAATTGCCAAAAATATCAAGGCACACCCAATTGTAAACGTTTAACCTTTTTTTTTATTATGTTTTAGGTATTATAGGTTGCAAAGCATCCATTTGTTCTTTGTAAAGTGCCTATATAATCCAGAATGCTGAAAACATAGTTGCTGTTCATGCAGCAAGTCATTTATTTTTTCTTTCTGTCCAATTTGCTGATACTCCAGTGGATGGGCCCATTTTTAGTGAAAAAAAGTTCATAAGCACTGCAATTTATATTTATATATATATATGTGTGTGTGTGTGTATTTGGTTTTAAACAAGGTAGTTTTAGTTTCTTCAGCAATCATCAGCCTTGCAGAAAAACTTTCAGTTATTAATTATTAACAAAAAAAAAAAAAAAAAAGGGTAATAGTTTTTGATATTTTCCCCCCTCTTCCTGATTGACTCTTGTATATTACTTCAGTATCATCCCCTTTTAGTTAATTTCCATCATTTATCTTTGTAGCAACTTTTAGCATACTTTAAAATTATGCTATCTTTAAATAATTAATTACTTTTTTATGCTCATAGTTTGAACATTATAAAAATGAAATCAAACTCCAATTCTCGCTTGCCACACAGGGAAATTTAATAAATTTAGGTGCATTTCTCAATACAAAATCATAAAAGCAACAGTATATGTAAAAGAGCAATATAATATATGTGTATATAAGGTCTATTCCAAAATATCTGGCAGCAAAAAGAAGCAAATTATATACTGACTACCAATAAGTATTTGGACACCTATGCAAATGACGATATCTGCGGTCCTAAGGTATGTCACGGACTCCTCCGGTATATATTGTGTAGGAAACAGCATGGGCTTTAGTTGCAAGATGCCTCGCAGTTCGGAGCTCTCTGATTTTCCAGAAAGGTATAATTATCGGGTATCACAAATGTGACCGATCCTTATGGGACATATCTAGCGATCTGAAGTGCCAGAATCAATAGTGGCCCACGTGATTAAGAAGTGGAAGGTGAGCGGTGATTGTCGGAATGTGCCCCGAGTCGGAAGACCAACGAAACTGGGAGATAGAGACCGACGAGTGCTGTCCAGAGAAATTCAGAAGAACCGCACCCAAACGATGGCTCTCATCCCGCGAGGAGTTTCAACACGCATCCGGGATTATTGTTTCAATGAATACCATCTGTAAGGAAGCACATCTGCTTGGTTTTCATGGTCGTGCTGCTGCTCATAAGCCTTTGATCACAAAGTCCAACCACGCTGCTCTGTTAATGTTGTGCAAATCACATCGAAATTGGACCGTAGATCAGTGGAAACGAGTTCTTTGGAGTGACGAATCATGGTTCTCCCTTTACCGTTCGGATGGCAGGGTCTGGGTCTGCCATCTACCTGGAGAACGTCTCCTGCCAGAATGCATTGTGCCAACAGTCAAGTTCGGCGGAGGTGGAATTATGGTCTGGGGGTGTTTGTCCTGGTATGGGCTGGGACCCTTGGTCCCCATTCATGGTAAGCTCAACTCCGATGCCTACTGCACTATTTTGGATGGCAATGTGCTTCCTTCGTTGTGGCAGTTTTATGAGTTGGACCCCTGTTACTTTCAGGACGACATTCCCAGTTGTCATGTTTCGACGTTAACCAAGGCTTGGTATGGTGCCAATGGAGTTCATCGAAAGGACTGGCCTGCCCAGAGTCCAGACCTAAACCCTACTGAGAACCTCTGGGACGAGTTGCATCGCCAAATTCAGGGTTGCACTACCCGTGCAAAATCGGTGAAGCAACTTCTATGTCTTCTCCAAGCCGAGTGGAAGAAAATACCAGTAGCTGTCATACAAAGACTTGTGGAAAGTATGCCCCGGAGGGTCCACGCTATAATTACCTCTCGTGGCAGCTAACTATTGATTTTGAATAAAATTAGTTTTTCTTTTCTATGACAGGTGTCCAAATACTTATTGGTAGTCAGTGTATACTAATAGAATGTGTGTGTTCCAAAATGGTGCATCTTAAAACTATTTTAAAAGCGTTCTTGCTGGCATAAGTCGTCATCTCTCATGTCGATTTTATTGCTTTGTGAATGCAGTGCTCGCTGATATGCATTTTATGTATGGGACCTCAGATGGAAATGGAACAACTGCTCAGAGCTGGTACTTGAGAATTGTTCTGTGTATTTCTTTTAAGCACGTGCTCTGTTTTAGCCCACAATCCCATAAATGAAGTGCATACCAGCGAGTTCTGCTTTCATGTACATACCACACAGGGAATGAAAATTTATGCTAGTAGCTTTTAGTTACTGTTCAACTATGCTTTTAAGGTATTATTCAACAGCATCTTGTACCAGCTCGGTGTGCAAATTCTGCATACACATTACATTATGAAATCTGCATGTACTGGTCGCCTCTAGATCCCTGCCAGATATTTTTAATCACGTTATATACAAAGTGTAACAGATCAATCATGTCACAATGCTGAGTCCCTAGTTCCTTTGATGAGCCATCTACTGAGCCATATGATTCTTGCTTGAAGGACTTTACTCACCAACTGTGGTCTAGCATTCTTTGTGATCACAAGTACGAGGGTTGGAACTTTAATAGTGGCAACTATTTATTTACAAAGAATACAAAAGTGATTCATGTCACCATGTTTTACAGTCCTTCAATATAGTCGCCAGCATTGTGTACAACCCGTTTCCAACGATATGGAAGTCGCAGAATACCTGTAGCAGCGCCTGTTTTGTTAATAGTTTGAATGGACCGGTTTACTGCCGCAAGAATCTCAGGAACAGTTTGGAAGCAAGTTGCCACGAAGTGGTTCCTTCACCTTAGGAATTAAGCCATAGTCACATGGGCTTAGATCTGGGGAGTATGGTGGATGGTAAAGCACTTCCCAGCCCCATCGCTTGAACAAATCAGTCACAGCTTGCGCTGCATGCGGCCAAGCATTGTCACGCAAAATGAGAGGAGCGTTCTGCAGAAAGTGTCGCCGTTTTTTTCTCAAAGCTGGTCGGAGATTGTGATCCAAAAATGAGCAGTAATACTGCGCAGTGACGGTCTGCTGTGGGGGGTATGTGTTAGAATGACACCATCACAGTTGTAACATGATAATCACCATAACTTTCACATTGCTGGGGTTCTGACGAAATTTCGAATGCATCGTGGTGACCTGTGATGACACCATTCGTTTGATTGGCGTTTCAGTTCTGGCTGGTACGATCGCGCCCAAGTCTCATCCAGCGTAATGATATGCCGTAAAAAAGCATCTCCTTTGCGCTCATAGCGCTCCAGGTGGGTTCTGGCAGCATTGTATCGTAGCCATTTCTGCATTTCCGTCAATGATGTGGATGGAACCCATCGTGAAGCAATTTTTCTTATGGACAGGCATTCCTTCAGAATGTGCAACACAGTCATATGCGCTAATCCTGTTTGTCCAGCCAGCTGATGAACCGTTTGGCGGCAATCACTGTCCACTAGTGCGTCAACAGCTTGCACGTCTGCATCGCTGACACTCGGACGACCTGGCCGCAGCATGTCTGCCACTTTTTGGCACCCTTCATTGAATACGGTTGTTACGGTTCTGTAAGGCAATGCAGATTCTCCGCAAGCCTCTTGAGGCCCTTGATGACACTGTCGTGCTGTACGACCTCTGGCACATTCAATTTTTATCCAACATCGTTGTTCTTGTTTTGAAAACATCCTGACAACACTTACTTTAGACTGCGAGCTAATACAAAGATACGTTCTTTGCGTCATTCCGCACACGCGTGACGTAGGCAGGATGAGTCTTTTTGCTGAGAGGTAAGGTAGGTATGTACGTGTGGTATACGCGATATTCTTTGGTTTTGTTGCATAGCGTTTCTTCAGCTGTATTGCCACTATTAAAGTTCCAACCCTCGTACATGCTACAAATTGCTGAAAATAATAGATATCCTACTGATTTTGTAAGAAAACTCACAAAAAAAAGTAGTAAATAAACAAGCTTCTCAACTCATTTCTCAAGAGTGAAGTTATTACAAATCCAAGCATCAAATAATAATAAATTTATTTGAACTTTTCCATACAATCTGATTACTACACGCATCTTCTTTGGGTTTAAAAAAGAATTAGCTATAAACTTATCACTACTCCATCTAGAATAGTCCCGTCCATCCAGAAACTCTTAAGATCAGATAAATAGACATCGCCACACTTCAGGTGTATACACTATCCTGAAGCATGTATATATTTAGTATTATATCTTCATAGCAAATCAGATACTTCAGGTGTATACACTACCCGATTCATTATGAAGATACATGCATAGAAACTCAATATATCATCTCAGCATCCAGAAAATTACCAATACAAACATCCGAACATAAAAAAGATATCTCCAAGCTCTCTACCAACCAGTTCATCAATGAAAATAACACATCTTTACTAAAATACTTCAAGCACTCACATACAATAATTGAATGGGACAAGGTCAAACGCTTCCCAAATTCGACATAAAAAGTCTCAAAATTAGAGAAATGCTTGAAATCGCCATCAATGTCCTATATATCATATACTTCTGCAGCAATGCTAATTCTAGCGACAAAACCTTCATGGGAGTCAACCTGTATCTTGCAGGTGAGATTCGTTGTCACTGTGATGCAGGGTTTACTGCTAGTTGTTGGAGTAATATGAATTATTTTGGTAACCCCCTCTAATATCAGCAATATAGGTGCATTAATAATGTGATATTATTGTAACTAATATATATATATATATTGAAAAGATTTTTATTACTGCTTAATAAGTAAGTGATGCAAATAATTTTTAAAAAAGTTAGTGATTATTGCTTGGAATAATGATTGATTAAACTCTTTAAAGGTTTCACAATAAAGAGTGCAGAGTTTTCAATATTTTTCATAAAATATCCTCTTCTTTCTGTATTTGGGTCAACCTTCATGGCAAAATCA